GTCAGATCCCTTGGAGCTGGAGTGGTTATGAGCTGCATGACATGTGGGTGACATATGCCGGCAACTCAGGTCCTCTGGAGAGCACCAAGCAGTCGTAACCTCTGAGCCACCTCTCCGGCCCGCCCATGTCTTAGACAGCATTTGGTCTAACATTTTCTGAAACTAATACCAGCATCTCTTTCAAGTTATAACAGAAAAACCCATAAAAATACTTTCATTAAGAATACCCTAATTATGCCTTTAATCATAGCACTTGGGGGGCAGAGGCAGGTGGATCTCTGTGAGTTCAAGGCCAGCCTGGTCTACAGAGTATGTTCAAGGACAGCCATGGCTATATAGAGAAACCCTGTCAAAAAAAAGAAAAACTGAAACCAATCATATAAACAAACAAAAATCCCTAATTATTAAAAAGTAAAATTTCACTGAGAAGATGAGGCAAATTAATATTAATTTGTAGGCACAAAATTGCAGGACATCATATAGTCTTTATGATTATCCCTGTTTTTTTATTGTATAGAAATTGAAAATCAAATCACCCAATAGGGTATACATTCCTTTGGTTTTTCTTTTAAATAGAAAATTTTGTTTTAGTGAATCCTTTACTTTTTGTTTTCATAAGGGCCTAATATGTCTTTTCAAAGGAAACCTTAGATAATCATTCCACCCTCAACCCACATGTCCCTGGAAACTCACGTCCAGCTGGGCAGGAGAGGTGGCTGCCATTAGCACGGTGTGGAACCTGATATGGCTAATATGGACAACTCCGAGTTCAAGCACACTGTAGAGATAACCACTGCTTCACCCCAACTTTGCCTTCCTCATTTTTCAGTTCCCATGTCAAGTCTGAAATTTGTACATCTGTCTTAAGATGTTCACTTCCTGTGCATCAGGTTTCAATGCACGAGAATCTTTAGACTTAAGGCACACATAGACGGCTCTCCTTAAGACATTCTAGCTGGTTCTGCAATGACTGGCAATAGTATCCTTTTAGTTTGTAGTCAGGACTTGGTACATACACAAAGGAAAAAGTTATATAATCCACATGGGTCCTAAAGCACGGGCGCACATAAGAGGACCTGGACATGGACGCTGAGTAAACACAAGTTCAGTCGGAATCTAAAACATACACTTCCTCAGTGTTTCTCCCTCTCCTCTCAATCCCTCCCTCTCTTCCTTTCTTATGTGTGTGGGTGTTTTGCCTGCATGTGTATTTGTGCACCATGAATGTGCCTGGTTCCCACGGAGGTCAGATGAGGTTAGCATATGCCTTGGAAGTGGAGTTACAGATAGTTGTGAGCAGCTGTGTGGGTCCTGGGGATCAGACCCAGCTTCCCTAACCCAGGATTTATCCTTTCCTATCTAGTGTTTATTGTACTATGGAACTACAGATTTACTGCACTTCCTTCAAGACTTCTCCTGTGTCACTGAGACTTTTCCTGTGTTCACTGAGAGTTCTCCCGTGTCCACTGCGACTTCTCCCGTGTCACTGAGACTTCTCCTGTGTTCACTGAGAGTTCTCCCGTGTCCACTGTTACTTCTCCCATGTCACTGAGACTTCTCCCATGTCACTAACAGTTCTCCCGTGTCCACTGTTACTTCTCCCGTGTCACTGAGACTTCTCCCGTGTCACTGAGACTTCTCCTGTGTTCACTGAGAGTTCTCCCATGTCCACTGTGACTTCTCCCGTGTCACTGAGACTTCTCCCATGTCACTGAGAGTTCTCCCGTGTCCACTGCGACTTCTCCTGTGTCACTGAGACTTCTCCCGTGTTCACTGAGAGTTCTCCCGTGTCCACTGTGACTTCTCCCGTGTCACTGAGACTTCTCCCATGTCACTGAGAGTTCTCCCGTGTCCACTGTTACTTCTCCTGTGTCACTGAGAGTTCTCCTGTGTTCACTGAGAGTTCTCCCGTGTCCACTGTGACTTCTCCCGTGTCACTGAGACTTCTCTGGCATTCACTGAGAGTTCTCCCATGTCCACTGTGACTTCTCCCATGTTCACAGAGATCCCTCTAACTCCCACATCTCTGTTTCATCTGCTCTCTTTTTCTAACCCCCTTTTCTATATTTGGATGCCAGGATGATGTAGGAGGGTCTTCTACCCTCCCAAGTTAGACATCACTGAGACTAATAAAAGAGCACAGAGTTGATGGGAAAATGGGAAAACTTGAAGCTATGTATTTACCTGGGAATGAACAAATGACCTGTAGCATTGCCTCTGGGGAATTAACATTAGCAGAAATCTAAGCAGCGTTTCAAAGAACTACGGTTTATAAATAAGGCCACTCTTGTATACAGTATCATGGCTAGATGAAATTCTAAAGGTTCAAGGGAAATTACACAATTTCAAAATGAGTTCTCTGTGTATACAATGCCAATCCATTCAAACGAAACCTTGAGCAAATCACTCAGGCATGTGGACCTTGCTATCCCAGACATTTCAAGTCTCCACTGAAGAGACGTAAGGTGGCTCTGAGCCAGTTTTGCTGCTCAAGGATAAACTTCACTATAGTGAGGTATCACTCTAACTGGTGGCTTTCTAAGCAACCACAAGTTGAGAAACTGGGAAGCCAAACAGGTTAATTCTGCTTAATAAAGCAAAAAAGACTAGGCTCTGGTTTAAGGTCAACAAGGGCATCCTACAAGTAGTAGTAGTCAATCATGTTGACTGTCTTTATGGCATTCTTGAACCTTTAATCCAAAATGGAGATCTGATGTGGGACAATGGTCTGTATTCTGCCAATTATATTTTAAATAAACTCTGATTGGTCAGTAGCCAGGCAGGAAGTATAGGCTGGACAACCAGACAGGAAGTAGAGGTAGGTCAATGAGAATAGGAGAATTCTGGGAAGAAGGAAGTCCTGTCTGCAGTCCTGACCCAGCCACAGAAGAAGCAAGATGTGACTGCTGAATAAGGTACCGAGCCATGTGGCTAACATAGAGAAGAATAATGGGCTAATAAGTCATAAGAGTTAATAAGAAGCCTGAGCTAATGGGCCAATCAGTTATAACTAATGTAGACCTCTGGGTGGTTTCTTTGGGACTTAATGACTGTGGGAACTGGGCACGACAGAAAACTCAGTCAACAAATGGCCTCCAACCCTGACAACAGAGATTTAAAAGGAAACAAGACTCGTGAACTCCCCCAAGGTCAAACAACTTTGTTATCTATTATTCCTTTTCCCAGTGGCCAACTTTTCTTGAAAGAGAAAATGTAAGATTTCCTAATTACACTCCTAAAGAGTTTGTCTATGGAGGTTTAATACTTGCTATGGACCACGCAAGCAGAAACAGACTCATGGAGCAGGTGATCCGTGTGGCTCAAAAGTCCAGAGGCTCCAGAAGACTCTGGCTCCTGTGCCTCTTCCATGTCCACCACTCCCAACTACCTGGATACTCACCACAGGTATAACTAATATCACTTTGATTCCCAGTGGAGGAGGCATCAGGTGAGGGAGTCAGTGGGGGAGGGCCTGAGACTGGAAATGCAGATGCACACTTTTCTCCAGATGTGCCCCGTCTTAGGCTAGGGCTGACCAGGAGCCCGCACTTGCTTCATGTTCTTTATCATTCGTGCTCCAGTGATTGATGGTAATGGATTTCTGGTGCCTCCGAGGCCTGATCTCTGCGGTGCCCCACCCTGTCTTCCTCTTTCCTTCTGGAACCATTCAGAAAAGCAAGTGTGGGAGGCTTATTGCCCAGATGCTCCAGTGGAAGAATGTGGGGGAGCCAGATGTGAGAGGGACCTCCCCTGCGTGGAGAATATGCAACCGAGAGTCCCAGCACATGTTGGAGCGGGCTGGCTTGCTAACGAAACTCTGGATTTGTAGCATGGTACTAGCCCACATCCAAGTCAAAATGCCTGTCCAGATTAAACGTCAAAACTGCCCTGTTATCATCTCTGTGCTTTACTGAGTATCTTTGAAGAAGAAAGAATCCTTTGGGGGGGAGGGTCTAATTGATCCCAGGCCTGATACTTGGACATGGATTTCCATGACCACTTCAGAAGAAAAAAATTCCACTATTTTAAATCCAGGTATCACATAATGTTTCAAATGGTGTGCACACATTCAGAACATCGTAAGAAAGGATAGGAGGTATGTAATTTGGCTGTGCTTGCAGAGTGAGTGTGCCAAAACATTGAAAGCGGTATAGCAAGAATTAATGCCAAAATATTTGCAGTTCTGTCAACTATCCAAACTACAAGGAAACTGGCTCAGACACTACTCAGGCCATACTAAAGAAGTCATGATGGAATCACCTAAGACCTGGGACACATAAAACGTTCACTCGTCTCCAACTGCAAACATGCTTGTCTCTGAAAGATTCTCACATCTTCATGATTTAGGTCTGCCTAGCCATAAAACCATGCCTAAAAACTGTAGGTGATATTGCAGCTGGCCACTGGACTTTTGTATCTCTTGCAAGCCCTAAGGAAGATATTAATGGGGCAGGGTGAGAAGAGACCCTTCCTCACTGAGCCTGAGTTGCCAGCCCGTGGTACAGGAATTATGTATCAAGCAGGCTTTGGTGTCAAGCAGCTGCTAGCTAATGGAATGTGCCACTAATCTGAGGACTATGGCAAGTTTTACGTTGATTAGAGTAAGATGTAAAATGTGTACAAGATTCGCTAACTGATGAAAAATTATTCCCACTGTGGCTCTTTCTTGTTTCTTTCAAGCACTCAACACTAACAATGGCTCTCTTTAATACTGTCACACATTCAATAATTGTCATGGAAGGAAGGGTGCAGCCCAATGGTTTGGTTTATAACTGCTCTTGATTTGTGCTTTTTTAATTGGAACAATGATAGCGTAAATAATCCAGTTAAGTTTACTCTAAAAGGCACGCGTATGTGTGTGCCTCCACTAGAAGGAGCAGACATATCCAAAGGAGAGTGGAAATTGACTTTAAGATTGAATTACAAACTTTAGAAGCATCATACTGCCTGCTTTATTTCTAAAGGTTATAAAAATCTCTTTGACAGACCTGGTCACTCACCTCATAATACAACGGTAAAATGCTGCTCGCGGGTTTTTTCCCCTTTTTAGCTGAGGCAGTTCCAACAAGTGACTGTATTTCGTTGATCTGTAAGACAATTGAGTTAACTTATCATGAAAGAAAGACTGGCTCAGGGAACACACAGATCTGTGAAACTTTCAAATATCTCAGTGATTCAAATTAAGCCATCAAGCAACTTAGCAAGAAGGTAACAGTCTAGGCAGGCTGCTGTTACCTGCAGGACCTGTGCACCCTGACAGCCCTTCTCTATGGCCTCATAGCCTCTGACTTGAACCAGCTAGGTTCTCTATAGACTTCACTTTTCAATTAGTCATGTGCTTTCCCTATTTATCGTCATTTCCCCCTCTTTTATTGTTATCTAACCTTATAGTAAATAATCCCTCACAGATCTCAGCACCCTGCCTGGAATGGTTGCAGAAATCCTTGCCGATGGAATGAAGTTTGAATGGACTACATGAATGAAAGGTTAGTCCTTTCAGATTAAACATTTTAAATTGTTTGCAGAATGTAAATGTGTGTTTAAAGTCATCCACTATAAGTAACAAAGCAGTTCAACACGTGATCATTTTTGCCTCCTCTAAAATTTCATTCCACAACTTTAAGGAAGAATGACTTTGGAGGTGGTGAGGCAGGAAGAGACAGGTACCTGCTGGAGAATATCTTGCCACGACACTATACTGAAGAGTTTACGCTGAGGGACTTGGACAGCCATTTCTAGAGCACGAATGAGAAGATCATCTTCAATCCGGTTCCCAACCACGAAAGCGATGGAGGCCTTCCAATCGTTCTGTTACAAGAGCGGACAGAATTAAATGCTAAGCGTTCTTCACTGGGTCAAAGGCTCCCACTGAAAATCACAGAGTTTTCTTGGAAATCTTACTTTAAGGACAGGGTTGAACTTGAAGTACATGTGCAGTTTTGACAAAAGTAGCCACAAGGCGGCAGTATTGTGCCAAATTTCACGTAACCTGACTAAAATTTTCTTGAGAAACCAGAAAAACCATTTCTGAAGGTAGATAAATTCCAGTAAAATGCTGTCCCCTTTGCATCCCCCAAAACGTTGGTGTTTGCAATCAATCTATCATTCCTGTGCCACAAACGTACATTAAAATGCAGTCTCAAAGCAGTAATCATTGTTTCATTTCCTGGCCCTTTCTCTAGACAGTGACTTGAAATAGTGCTAGGTTTCTAGAAGAAATCCCAGCAATAATTGCTAACTGTTGGGTGACACTGAGTGAGTTCGTAGTGGGAACGAGGACACACCTTCTCCTCTCCCTGTAAACAAGACCATGACTGCTGATTCGCAGAAGGATTCTTTCCATGGCGAGGAAAAAGGCTTGGACAAACAATTTAAAGAAACAAATCCCACAATCCCTTTCTCTCCATTTACTACCATTTCCATTGGCAAAGGCAATTCTCAGGGAGACCAAGTGGAGCTCCATGCATTTCCCCCTCACGACCTCCTGGTGTTTGAAAGGGGGCTGATTTCTGCTTCTGAACAAATTGGTCTCATGGGGAGGTAAGACAGTGTATATGACAAAGACATCAGGGAAAAGAGAAGAATATGAGGGGAGGGAACCCCAGGCATATGACATCACTAGGTCTCAGGGTCCTCATGCATAATAAGTGAATTAGGCATGGCAGTATCTAAGCCCGTCACTAGCTCAGCAATTCCCAGCTGTGGGTCATGAGCCATTTGGGGGTTGAACGATTCTTTCACAGGGGTCACCCCAAACCATCATAAATTATGATTCATAACAGCAGCAAAAATTACTGTTATGAAGTAGCAGCAAAAATAATTTTATGGCTTGGGGTCACCACAGCATGAGGAGGTGAATGAAAGGGTCAGTCACAGCATTAGGAGGGTTGAAAACCACTCACTCTAGCTACTTCTGGGAGACCGATATCTGTGGAGTGAAACCTGCTCTTGGTGGATGCCAAGACATTGTCTAAGGAGACTGGGAAACTTCATGCAGGTTTTTTTGTGAAACATGCAGTTTTGTGTGGCTCTCTCTGGACTCTGTTCACAGCCAGGCTGACGCGGTTAGAAGCAGAGTCTAGGTGTGAGGAGAGGCAGGGTCCCTTCTTTCTCACCAACAAACAGCGTTTTCCATGGGAACTTACTACATGACATGATCCACCCAGTGTCCAGCGCCATCAGGAAAACAAAACCACATGTGAGACCATAAAAACGTGTGCATTACATACAGAGAACGTGCTAGGTTTGCACGCATGCAGACAGGTGTGACTTTTTTTTTTTAAATTCTGTTACTGAGTTTAAAACCTTTGTGGATGCTAATTTGATGTAGAAAGAGAGAGCATTTAATTTTTTTGTTTAATGGTCTGGTCCTAAAAATTAAGCATGGTATTTTAACAAATTGTTTAGGAAAGAATTCCATTGCCACTAACGGAGTTTCCTTGCACTGGATAACATCCCTACCCCTGGGGTACTCCCATCAAAGCCGCAACTGTGGTGAGAGCTGCAGGGGAAAGCCCCTTCCGTTCTCACAGAACAGTACCCACCTTTCCTGGACAGGGCATATGCTAAAGTTCCGACACCAGAAACAACTGCTTCCTTCTCTCTCTCTTTTCACTGCAAGTTTCTTTGCTGATATTTGAAAGCCAATGGTGATAAAAACTTGTCACGCAGCTTTTTAAAAGAGTTCCAAGGGGGTATTGTCACCGGCTACCTACCCATTAGGATCCCGTGTCAAAGGTAGATGTGGGGCGTTCCAGACATGAAGAAAGAGGGGAAGGGGAGGAAGGAACTAACAATCTCTGTGGATCTCCCATGTGCCAGGCACATGTTGCCCCTCCGAACCCCTACATGACACCGTGAAATGGGCACACCGGTACACTGCAGATGGAAAGACAGGTCCAGGAGTTCAGTGCTTGTTTAAGATCATCATGGCAGAAACCCATGGGAACTGCGCAGAAAGCTGGCAAATCTGATTATTTCAGGACAGTTCTAGGGCAAGTCACATCTGTCACGTGCTACTAATTGATGAAGATTTACTGTTCTTGTAAAAGTGCATGGGGCCTTCAGAAATAGCTTCCACCCAACCCCCAAAACATTGTGAATCACATTTTAAAAAATGGTATTTTATAAAGAGGATGAACGGTTAAGGCCATCTCCCAAGTTTCCCTCTCTAGACGCCAATGGCTCTGTTTTCTTTGCTCTAGAATGTTCTAAAAAGAAACAAACGAGTCTATTTTTTTCAATCCATGGTCCTGTATGTCAAAACGTGTGAGATATTCCTGATGTCACGTTGAGACAGCTCTTGGAAGCTAGATCAGGAACCTTCCTCTCATTTCACAGCATCTAAAAGGTCCAGCTGTGGCCCGGCTTTCACCCACACACTGGTCCTTAAAGCTGCTTCTAAATTGGGTCTGCTTTCTAGAGTAGGATCCAAAATGGATGTTGTTAGGGCTGCAAGTTCTCATCTAATCATATGCCCAGGGCCCCAGGAAATGTGAGACAGTGGTCACTTTGGGGGGGGGCGGGGTGTGCCTGAGGGGACAGCTGCACCATCTGCTGGCTGCAGCAGGGGGCAGCGGGACGCTGGGAAATACACATCACTGGATGAGAGAGGGTGGAGGGCACCTAAATGAACGAGGCTCTATTAGCGCTCCAGGAAAACTGCAGGTTCCAGATTTTTACCATCAAAAACTTGTTTAGAAATAGGATGTTTTCTTAGAAAAAAAAACAGACACAAATTGGATTTGGTAAAATACTGTCAAAAACAACCAAACAAAACCCCCCTAAACAAACAAAACAACAATAAACCTTCTCCATATATATCCCATTTCAACATCCAGTTAAACAGAGTCCTTAATTTTAATCTCACAGGGAAGCCAGAGGAATTTAGCTCATTGAGACTGAACACTGACCGTGGGAGAGGGAGATGGCAGTGCCATGTCACAACCAAGTACCATACCTGTGGTCACAGTAGTGTTCCCACCTGTGCTCGAGTTCCAGACAGTTCAGGAACTTTGAGGGCATTCAACAGGAGCTGGGAACTGAAAACTGGCCACTTAGAGAAAGCAGCAGATAAACTTAATGGCGAGGGAGGAGGCTTTTATTCTAGTGTACTCCAATGCTTCGGACAACGAAGGTGGCTCTCTGCTACCCGGAGACATAAATGACACACAGATATCGCTGAGTCCTGTCCTAGGGAGCTATTGATAAAGTCGGTCAAAGGTGGAAGGGAGCTGTGCATAGACACAATCCATTACCTTCTATTTGCTTAAGCGGTCTTACCTAATTTGAAGCCTGGAAGGAGGGCGTCTCAACCCAAACACTCGCATGTAGTCTCCTAAGGCAAGAAAGCTTTCAGTACACGCAGGGAACCTGGCCAGCTCACAAAGCCTCCAGTCTCGCAGACATGGGGTAGATTTAGAACTATTTTTCTTTCATATATTAAAAATTCTCCAAATTTTACTAGGCATTCCATATTCTAATATGATTATAACAACTCCTTCACTAGCAAGGAGACATAGCTGCTGGACAATGGGGCTGTGATTGCCTCCTGCTGTAGCAGGAGTATCAGCTGATACAGGAAGACAATGGAATGCTGTCTTGGTAGCCTTCCATAGAGCTTCTGGGAGGACGTCTCCTTGGGCTCTACCCAGAGCTGACTAGAGATCCTTCATCAGTAAGAGGCATGTAAGTCTTATGTAATATCCATGCAGCATTTAAGAAGTTGGCTTGACTGAGAACCATTTAAGACCAGCAGAGATGCAAGCCTGCGCTTGGTGTCCATGGACTCAGCTGAAGGAACCCTTTCTTGTCATGTAGATTGACCAAGTGGACAGGCGTTTGGGAATGTCTTTCTCATGCTAGGTTTTTGCTTTCAGAAGACTTGGCTCTCCATCAGCAGAGGAGTGTTAGTGTGGGCTTTTGGCCAGGAGAAGAAATATTTTCATTACCTCAGACTGGCTGCTGCAATTGTATCTGTTAAAAAGGAATTTTTTAACTGCAAACTAAGTTGAGAGTAAAGGGTCAATAATAGACACACGTCATATGATAAACAAGTACAATATTAATGATGATGACATGCTTTTACCTAACTCTTTTTTAAAACAGATATATATATATATATATATATATATATATATATCCTTCATAATTTCTCCTAAAACTTAGCTAGATATATTAATGCATACTACATGAGGAATCCTTGTTTAGGAATCAGATCATATGGCCGTGACAAGTAGACTGCCAACTCTTGAGGTCAGAAATTAGGATTTATAGACTAGTGTACCTTGGGATGCTTGGCATGAACAGAAAATAGAGCCAGGCTCTCTGTAGAAAGGCAAGGGGATTGACTTGGGCACTCAGAGGACTCTGACTCTTGGAATCATCAGTTGTGAGAGAGTATCACGTCAGGCAGTTGGAGGGTTCGCATTCTGCAGAGAACACACTGAATCCGGCCTAGCATGAGCCTCATCAGGGATCAGTTACAAGGATTTAGGGTCTGCTAATACACGTTTCCTGAGAGCGATTCAGGTAAGCACCGATGCAAGGGGAAGAAGCTGCTAATGACTCTGGAGCAGCATCAATTATAAAACCACACCCCCTCTTTTTCCTTCTCCCTATTCTTTCCTAACTCCCATCAAAATGATGTCCTGGTCTCTCTTCCCTTCACCCACTACAAACAGACCACAAGTTCTGGGAGCTGGAATTCTACAGGCTGGAGTCACAGTGGAAGAGTATCCAGGGGCAGCAGGCAGAGAGAGCGGATGTGAGCCAAGGAAGCAGCAAATCACATTGGCTGTCCCAGGCCA